ATTGCGGGTCTTACCTCTAAAATCATTTCCCCCCAAACATTAGTAACCGAAAGGAAAACATGAGTGATGCCTCTCGTCTTTCTGAGCGACAGAAAGACGAGCTCGGCCTCTCGCGCGGCGCTGGCGGGGCACCTGGTGCTGCGGCGCCCCTGCCTGTAGCTTGTCTTAGCACTGAGAACCAAAAAATTGCAACATAAAGCATTGGCTGTTTCGCCTCTACTATATACATTTTTGAAATTACACAGTCATAAATTAAAGCAGGGATTAAATAAGCTCATATAAAATGTAATTAAATTAAAAAAATCACAGCACATCATAGAGAAAAATAGGAACCAGTTTCACAAAAAGATTATATATATTTATATTTATATATATATATATTTTTTACCCTGTGGAAACAAATTTTCTACAAAACACAAAACCTTTGTAACTGTCCAAATGAAAATCTTCTCTTACCCCACTCTTGCATTTTTACACAGCCCTAGACCCACCTGGGGGACATTTCCAGAAACCAAGTCTTCCTTGAGCAACGGAGCAGTTCTGCCAAGAAAAGAAACCCCGAACCGAGGGGAGAGGGGAGGGAACATCTCAAACATACAAACTACAAAATAAATAAGAATTATAAAGTTTTTCTTAAAAGTAACCTTAACAGTTATCAAACTAGTAAGTTCTGCCTTATCACATAGACTCTCTATACAACGTAACCCTAGACTTTATTACTATGAGGTATTTGGAGGAATTGATAAAGGTGACTCACGGCTCACCTGGCGAGGGACCCCTTGACGGAGGCCGGGAGGGGACAGGAGGAGGAGCTTTGGTTTATCAGCAAAACACTGGGTGGGGGAGGTCATCCTTTGGTATCAAAGAAAGTTTCATTGCATGGTTGCATGGAAAAGCACCACGGTGAAAAATTATTCCTTTTTTTTTCATTAGTGGCCTTTCTAAGAGGCTGAGGTATTCAAAGAGTATAAGGAGAGAGAGGTTAACAGCGGTTTAACACTTTGGTTCAAGCAAGGCACTCATCCTAGGAGTTACAAAGTTTGCGACATATTTGCTAGAGATTTACAAGAAGAGCTAGTGGTCGTAAGAGTTGTGTTTCCTAACGGTGTTGTGATCTTATCATTATTCAGAATGAAGAAGAGTTTGTACACTGAGTGATACGGGGTGGGGGGGCGTGGGCGGGGCGGGACAGGACGGGCGGGGTGGAGGTCCCTCTGCAGACGAGGCCGTGCACGAAAATATCTTTGGTATTCTTTGGTATCATCAATGTGATTAAAATCACCAATGGAAATCGAGTGAGGTAGCGTCTTTGGTTCACACTATAAATAGTAGATCTTTACATTTTTTTTAAACACGTGGAAATAGCTATTTCTTACCTTCTGCTTCTTTGTCCTTTGACTATTTAGGAAATAGTTACCCAATGTACTGTAGAGCTAAGCACGCCACAGTAGTGACCCAGGAGGCCTGATGCGTCTCAGAACAGCCTCTGGTGTTTGCACCCGAAACAACTAGATAGAAAAGGGACAAGTGCTTTCTCTTTGTTTGCTAAATGCATAGATTTCATCCTTCATGTACAAAGAAGGGAGGACAGGTTTTAGGGAAGATGCCCCTAGATAGAGCACGTGGGAAAACGTCCTAGGACTCTTTGGTATAGCAGTTTGCATCGAACCTGCAAAGACCTGTCTTTGTGGGGCGGCCACAGGAGCGGAATGAGTCCAAACGTAGCACAGCGCTTTTATATGTTCCTGGGAAAGGATGCTTTCCTGGGGGCGCCATGGGCAGCGAGTGACACCTGATCATGCCTTCCGCACAGCCACACACAGCGCCTTTGGCCTCTGGGGTCTACGCCAGGGACTGGGACGTCCAATTCCTGATACCCAGAGCTCACTTCAGTACTTCCTCCTGAAGTCCAGACTTTAGGTGTACAGATGTCAACCCCCTGGAAAATCTTCCTGTTAGGAAAAGACCTGAATGGTTTATGGCAAAAACAGACTAACTTCCATTGTACCAAAAAAAGAAAAAGAAAAAAAAAAGTGATAGGTGAGGTACAGAGTGAGCGAAGGGCCTTTCTACAGTGAATTTTGCTAAAGACTGAACAATGGGTTAGCATAGCCCACAATCGGCCCTGCTGGATGCAGAAAAGAACCAGAGCTGTAACAAATGCTGCACTGAGCCACTTCACCGGTGGAGCCAGCTTGGAACCGGCTGCAGGCCACGCAGCATGCGTTGCTGCGGTTCACTGCGGCTGCCCGCGGTGATTTCCACAAAGCCAAGCCTACGCCTCTGGGCAGTCAGGTAAAAGGGCAGGTCCAGGTTCTAAGTTGTGCCTCTGTTTATGAGAGAATATATTTCTAGGTCCTGAAATTGTGTAAAGGGTACAAATTCAATGCCAGTATGAAAATCATCTTTGGTGTTAGCAGGTAGGGAAACTGGCTATTTAAAACAAACAAACAAACAAACAAACAAAAAAACCACCCTGATGGGAGGGCTTTTAAAACGTAGTGATATTCTTTTAAACTGTGCCTTACACAGGTCCAAAATCGCTGGCTGAAAATGCAAAATGTGATTGGATTAATTTTGGGGGAGGAATCCAATAAAGTCAAATAGAGGTTGTTTGAAACCAGTTTTTGTTTTTCTTGGGGTGGTAAAATCAGGTAAGAGTGGGTGCAGATGTAGTTTGAATTTCCCTGGACTTGAAATTCTCATAACTTAAATAAGTAAGGCTTTCTTCCCTCCCAAGTTATAAATACTTACGTAGCTACCTACACCCCAGCTTCCTCCATCCCGAGAAACTGAATTGCGTTTTCCTGTTACACTGACAAGAATGTATCGTTAGGAAACCATGAGAGGTGGCCTTTGAGAACAGTGTCTTACAGCTGGACTATAATTGTGCCATACTTAGAAGGGACAAATTTTAGCTGGAGGCCTGGATGAAATAAAAAACGTGAAGACCAACTCCTGCATGTCAAGGCAAGCAGGAAGAAGCAGGTGTTGGTTTCCTGAAGAAGCAGAGGCAGGGATGGCTCATCGGGTTCCTGTCACCTCTCAGGTGCTGCCGGTGTACAGTTAGGTGGGTGTGGGATCGACCTTCAGGAGTTAGGTGTTGTGAAGATGATTCAGTGTTTTGCTTTGGCATTTTACTGAATCTCAGTAAACACCTTATTGAGTTGTTAAAACTTTTAGTTTTCTAGTCCTAGCTCGCTGTGATAATTGATGAGAGGGTTGTGCATGTGCAGTGCAGCTGGCTACATCGGCTGTGGGGATCCAGCGACTCACAGGGGATCCTAGTGCTGGAGTTTGGTTTTCGCCTTGATTTATAGACCATCCCCCCACTTGAGTGATTTGGAGAAAGGGAAATCTAAAGCTTCGTATTTGGAAGCTTGGGTCTAGATTTTTATCCGTCTCTGTTAGAGTGGACTCTATGTTATAAAATCTCCAGCTTTTTTGAGTAGCAAGAAAGAATGCAATAGGCTTCGGAGGCTGCTGAGCAAAATAAATTGCTTCCATGTCGATGGAACTGAAGGGCTTACGCTCCCCAGAACCTGGCTTTCTCTGCTCAGCTCCTCTGGCTTGGCTGACCAGTTGTTAGTGCCTGTTTTATGGATGTTTTGGTCACAGTGTTTTGGATTGGCAATAAATCAGTTTGACTTTTTTAGGATGATTACAAAATAGTGGACAACTAATTTTAATTTAATTTAATCTAATCTGAGGTTGGGTCTCTCCTCTCTGCTGCATGGGAAGATCTTGAACTCCTGGCCCAATGGTCCTCCTGTGTCAGTCTCCTGAATGGCTGGGACTACAGCACATGCTCCTGTGCCTGTCTTGGGCAATTAACTTTAATAACAACATTGGGCTGATCACTCTGTGTTAGTATTCTTTAAAGGCATCTGGTGCCAAATACATAAAACAAATTCAAGTCAAATTAACCTAAGTTCTTATTGGTTGGTCTTTTGCTAGAAGGTATCGTTTTGAACAAATTTTCTAATTTAGTCCCTGCCTTGTTAAACAGCTCCCTTCTGTGGGGGCGGGGTCCTGCTTGGGAAGCACCCCGGTTTCCCTGGCTGTAAGAAGAGGGCTGCATCACGCCATGCAGGTGGCATGTGTGGGCCACTGGCTCATGGTCTTGTCACCCTGGTGCCTCTGGTTCCCTGGAGCTACATTCTTTCTTGCCAGTTCTGAAAACTCCTATTTCAAGCATCCCAAGAGTTATAAATTATAGCTGTGAATCTATGTGGTGTGTGTGTTGAGCTAGATTAGTTCACATGTATAATTTTACATAGTATCTTGTGTAAAAATAGCTTTGGTTATTAAAATGGTTGCAATAAAATACCTGACTATAATATTAAGTGTGTTCTTTGGTACCTAGGTGATTTTTTTTTTTTTTAATGGATGGACTCTGGTTTCATTTCTTAAAAAATATCTGGACACTCCTTAACAAACAAAGAGAATGCACTGGTTTGGGTGCTGTTCAAGTCTCCTTGGGTGGGTCTGAATCAGGACCGGGCAGTGGCACGGCAGGATCAACGCTCAGGTGCCTGGCGGCGACATCACTCCCGATCCACCGGACCCTTCCTGACTGCCTGCCCTGCCCGAGTCCGCACTGTGGCGGTGTGCAGGCGTGTGAGCGAGTGTGGACGCGCATGCGCACCAGCACACGATCCCGCAACACCAGACACCCTGGTGGCGTGGGGAACGCGGCAAGAGAGGCCAATCCTAGCGGTGTCCACTCCGGGGCCCGGAATCCCGATGTGCTGAGAGCCCCTCGGCAGCCGTGTGCGCGGCGCCAGCAGCCAGGGGCTGCGGGGCGAGGGGCAGCGTGGGGACCCTGCCCGCCCTTTCTCTTGCCACATTGTCGCCCGCTGAAGTGTGTGTCTCCGAACAGAGTCAGGTGAGCTACGTCTTTGGTTTCTTTGGACTATAAATATCGCTTTGTTTTTCTTCAAATATTTCTGAGTATAAACCTGCTATCTTGAGGTCCTGGTTTTTAAAAATCTTCTCTTTTAAATTTAAAGCTTTTCCACCGAGGTTCGAGTTCGTGGCTCCCTTCATGCTTTGGTGCAGGTGCCCGAGGAGGAGGAGGAGCTCCCGGAGGTGGCGCTGGCCTCGTCCTGCCACTTGTCCAGGCTCCTCCGCCGCGCGTTCATGAAGAAGTTGCTCACGGTGCTGAGCTCCAGCCCGAGCTGCTGCGAGATGGTAATCTGCAGCTCCTTGGACGGCCGCTTGTTCTCCTTGAATATCGCGTGCAGAGTTCGGCGCTGGACGTCGGTGAAGACCAGCCGGGGCTTTTTGGGAGCGCTGCCGCGGTCCTTGCCGTGCTCTTGCTCTTTCCTCTTGCACGCTGCAAAGGAATAGGGACAGCATTAGAGCAGGTCCCTGCTGCAAGTGCGGGCGGGCCAGCTGCACCGCGGCTTCTCCCGGCCTCGCAGGCTCAGTCTGCTGCCGGGGCTCCATCTGTAAGCCTCGGACCAACTAAGCTGACCGCTCCGAACTTGTTTTTCTGTCTGGAGAATAGAAAAAACATGTGCTGGGCATGGCGTCACTACGGGAGGTGAGGGGAGAAGGCTGTGCGGTCAGGGCAGCTTGGCATTGCAAAAACAAAGCACAAAGCCAAACAGACCTTAAGAATACTTACCTCGTGGGACTGTGGCAGACGCAGCATGCGTAAAAGTTCACGCTAACTGAGGCACTTTACACATGCAAGGAATGAGGTATGGTGGGAAATTTGGTGAACGTCTAAGTATTTCAATTGTCACAGGACGACCCCTTGCTGTGAACCCCTCCAATTCTCTCCCGCACACACTCACCCTACCTTGCTTGCCTCTTTCCGAAGCAGCTCCTCTAGCTGTGCTGCCATGGCTGCCCAAATGTCAGGTCTGGCATGGGACCCGATCTGGTGACCAAGGTGGGTGAGGATGCAGAGTCACGTTTTTATGAGCTCCCTTCTTTGGACGGTGCTCTGCAACCACAGTCACTGTATTTTTGGTCACTTTGTAAAGACTCAGGAAAGAGGATGCCAGGACTGTGTGGCCAGTGGCCAGAGCACTGGGCCACGTGTGCTGGGAGCAGGGGGCACGGTGGGCAGATGGTGGCACTGCGGCTCTCACTGTAGGAAGTTTAAGTGCCAACACCATCTGACCACACCTTGCCTCTCAGTGGGAGGTGGCTGTGGCCCCCAGAGGCTTTAGTCTGCTGCTAGCATGCTGAGAGCCCAGCTCGAAGTTTAAAGGCCCCATAAGAACAATACTGTTGCCTGGTTTTCTCTGGGTTCCCGGAAAGCCTGTCTATGAATCCGCGTCTATGGGCCTCCCTGCTGGCTTGCAGTCCTCCCTGGGGCCCGAGGTCACGGTGGGAGCCCCTCTTCCCTGCGTCCAGGCTGGGCCAGTCATGAGGGTGCTGTCTGTGCTCCCCTCTTGCTCCTGGGATACCTTTCCTTCCCTCACCGCTCTCGGGGCCCTCCTGGCCCTGGCTGTCCTGGGCACCTGTCCTGAATCCTGTACCTGCCTTGGAGGTGGCTTGGCCTCTCTACTCCTCTCTTCATCCCTGCCCTCCACGGAAGAGCACTGTGGGCCACGCTGCTAGCTGCTGCCTTCCTTCCCCCATCAAGGGACACAGGATTGGGGTTCAGGCATAGCATTAGAAACAACTGTGTCCTAATTCCCAAGGGGTAGCCACTGTTGGCCTGACACAGGCATGGGGACAGCTCTGCCATCTCCTGTCTCACAGCAAGAGTGGTGTCAGCTGCTAGAACATTCTCCGGGTCCACATTCCTCGCCCACTAACTGGATTCTGCCCTGGGGTCCCCTCCACATCAGTGTCCAGTTCACAAGGTGTCTCAGCCCCAGACATGACTGAGAGCAGTGGTGGAAGCCGAAGACGCCTCCAGTCTTTGGAGTTCAGGCACAGGGTCTCTGGGATACTTCTGGAACAGGGCATGCTCCCGAGCAAGCGATCTGTCAGCGACCAGCAACAGCTCAGTGCCAGCAGGTACTTAGCAAGCTGGAGGCCTGGGTTCCATCCCCAACACCAGGGCAGTCCTGAGCGGACACACCTTCTAGTGTATAGTTATAAATCACACACATGTCACCAAGACCTTATTATATGCACTATAAAGCACACAGGAAATGTACAAATTTCAAAGAGCAAGCACACTGGTGAACAGTGGGGATTCTCTTCTCCAGCAGCTTGTGATGGTTCTGCGGCATCTTCCCCCCACTTCCAAGACTCAGGGTCAGGGCATTATGAAAGTGAGCCGAAGCCAGTCCCAGGGACCCGGGGACACTTGTCACAGCAGAAAGTGTCTGCAGCTCTGGCCTCCTGCCACTTTCCCTGGTGCATGCCATGGGTGACGGGAGGCCCAGCCCACCCCGGGCAGCAGCACCTGGGCAGCAGCACGCATCCCACGAGCTGAGTGCGGGACGCCAGCCAGAGGGCACCATCTGTGTCCTGACCTGCGAGACAGTCCCGTGGGTGCCCTCTTTGGGAACTGAATCAGGTCCCCGAGCAAGCTGGGCAGCGCCAGTGCCTGCTGCCTGGTCACTCCCTCACACCCATGCCAGGCCTGGTGTGGCCACAGAATGTCACCTCCATGTGGCTGAGGGCCCTCTCAGAGGTGACAGGGGTTTGCCACGCAGGAAGTGGGCATCTTACCCGCAAAGGGGCCACATGTGTGCAGGACAGGGACTACCAGCTGGCTGGGGTTGGTAGCCCAGATTCAGCTAGGATGGCTGAAGGGAAGCAGGTGATAGGTGGGTTTGGGGCAAGGCTGCCATATGGTTCAGTGTGGGCTCAGTGAAGCCCCTCTGGTGTGGTGTGGGGTAAATGGAGGTGGCAGAGCCTGGGTCACCCAGACCTGTGGCTGCTGGGAGCGTGATGCCTGGCTGCTCCTGCTGAGATCCATGCTGGGAACTCTTTAGCCAAAGGCTGTGCTACCCAGGGAGTGGGTGGGACTTCCCAGCCAGGGGACAAGAGGCCTGGGAGATGGGAGGCAGGGTCTCTGATCCCAACCTTCCCCCTGGGAGTCACCTGTGGGTGGCTGAGGGCATCCTTCCAACTCTACAGCAGCTCGTGGACATCTCCCCTGTCTCCTGCAGCAAGCTCCAGGGCCCCAGCCTCCAATCTCAGAAAGCCTGAGGCAGCCAGGAAGCACGGTCAGGGCCCCGAGGTGGACCACGGCAGTTGCAGGCGGAGAAGCACTTTCCGGAGGGTAGAGTCGGATTGGAGGGCTCAGGGATACTGCGCTGGGGGGCGGGGGGCAGTGCTCAGTGTGTGCCTGGCGTTGCGCTGGATAGGAGCACTGCTCTCCCAGCCCACAGATGGAGACGCGGGTCTCCGAGGGCAGTAGGGACCTCCGCGTGGGATGAGGTCCGGGGGTGCTGATAGGTTCTGCCCTGAGTACACATTGCTAAATTATCATGGTCCTGATCCAACACGGCTCAATCCCAGAACAACAGTTTATCTTCCCAATGGCCACCTTGTCCTTCTTCACTCCAGCCCTGGATACCACTTCCCTTTACCTCCAATCAGCTCCTTATACGTCACTGACCCCGCCCCTCAAACTCCGCCCCCGGCAGAAGTCCTGGAACTCTCAGGCTCCCGGCTCGGGTCAGCGGATCCTCATCTCCTGCCGTTGGTCCTCTCTGTGTCCTGAGTCCATGAAGGCCTTTTAAAATCTTTTCTGTTTTTTTTATTGCACCAAGAAACCTATCACGTGTGCTGGCTAGACTTGTCCACCATGCAAGGCGCTGCTGAAGAAAAGCCCTGCCTGCTCAGGACGGCTGCGTGCTGCTAGTCTGGCCCTCGAGGAGCCCATGGGCTGCAGCAGCCTGGGCAGCATTTTCCAAATGGCACCAAGGAGTGAGTATTCCTCCAAGGTCATTTGAAAGACATGGGTGTAGAACATCTAGGGAAACAGAGGACAATGGGCTCCTGCTCAAAATTCATATGCCCTAGCAGGTAGCACTGACTCTTGCCTTTGCTTAACCCAGTGCCCGTCTCGGTCAGACGCCTGTGGGTCTCGTGGGTGCTGTGGTAGGAGGCTGCTGCCCAGGTCTCCAGCTGAGCTCTCCACAGGGTCACGGCCTGGGTGGAGCCTGGTTGTGTTGTGTGGTGGGGCTGGGAGGGGACCTTGGAACCCTCAGGGGTGGGGGCTGGCTACTGAGTGAGCAGGTGTGCTCACATCTGGGGAGAATCCCCGGATGGTGCAGCTGCCAAGGAAGAGCGGAGAATGGGGTGTGGAGATAGACATGGCCAGCCACAGTCCTGCTGGCCAGAGGAGAGGAGGGGAGGTGAACCATAACAAAGAAGTTGTACTTCCAGAAGCTTCTGCAGGACCCTCACTGCAGGGCCTCTGGGAGACCCCGGTTGTGAATCTGCCATGCTGAGGTAGAATTGCTGAGGACTGGGGTTCCTGTCACAGGACTGGGGTTTCTGTGAGAACCAGTGTTGTGTGCCGGGCCTGAGGACGGGGCTGCAGTAGCAGGGAATCATTGGGAGGCTCCTCTGTGACAGAGGCCAGAAGAGATCCTGAGGCTGGGGACCTGACCTCAGTGGGAGTGGGTGTCCAGCGCACAGCAGAGGGAAGGGCAGTAGAGCCCGGACAGCGTGTGACACTGATGGAAGAAATGAGTATGGGCAGGCAGCCGAGCAGGAGGCCTCCATGGCTGGCCTGGCTGGGGGCGTCCTTCACTCACTGGCCAGGGCAGAGCCGTGTGCTGTCCAGGGAAGAGGAATCCAGCTGGCTGTGGTGGCATGCGCCTGTAACCTGGCACTGTGGGAGGCCAAGCCAGGAGGATCACAAGTTCACGCCCAGCCCTAGCCTGGGCAGTTTAGTGACTTAGTGTGATCTTGTCTCAAAAAAAAAAAAAAAAAAATTAAAAAGCTGGTGATACAGTTCAAAGTGAAGGCCCTGGGTTCAACCTCCAGGACTGCAGAGAAAGAGAGGAAAAGGAAAGCTAAACCAAACCAAGGAGGGAAGGCAGGCAGGCAGGCAGGCAGGTGGGAGGGGGCGGGGGCAGGCAGACCTGCAGGACCTTGAAAGCTGTTCTGTGGGCGTTGAGTTGTGAGATGCAGGCAGCCTGGAAGTGCTATGCTAACTGGTGATCGAACAAGTTATGTTTAGCCGGGGAAAGTGCAACCACACTTCCAGCTTATGGGTCCTCCTGCTTCTCTGGTCACAGAGCTGTTTATTCAGGGATTTCTCTCGTTAGAGCAGCCTTTCCGGGTGAGACTGGTGACGCACACTGGGCATTGACAGGTTCCTGGTCTGCACTGAGATCAGAGCAGAGGGGTGAGAGGAAGCAGCGAGGAGCTGCTGTGACCTTCTGAGGTCGATTTTGTTTC